GTTGTTGTTTTTTTTGCATATTTTGTTGGCTTAATTTGCAATTTTTTTTGGCTTAAAATGGTCGTCGCGTCATGCTGATTCAGAATATATATATGGTGTTGGGGGTCACCTCTTACGGGTCTCGAGAAGATAGACGGACAGAGTGACAGACAGATTCCCCCATTTATGTAGTAGATGTACTATACATTACATAGTATATATATATATATATATATATATTCAATATATTTGTAAATGCAAAATTCTAACATTACATCTGTTGATATGTTTTTTATTTCGATCTTATAAATATCATGGTAAGTTCATCACTAACTTTACAGCTCAATGACATTAAGTGATGTGTTCTTTCAACCCACATGGCGTAGTGCAGTGGATCAGTGTTGTTACTTGTAGCCACATTGGAGTTTTGAAGTCATAAAGGTACAACCCTATCTATAACCATCAGCACATGAATTCAGGATGTCCATGTAACATCAAGAGTAGATAATAACACAAGAGTGTCCAGTCCAGTTGTGTTATTATCTACTCTTGGTAACATGTATAATGGCCATGCATTTATGTGCTAAGGATGATTTCTGACAGGTTACGGATACGCAACAACGTGCTGCTAAAGCAGTTAGTGATAACTGTTGCCACCTCAGACCAGTCCTACATGCCTCAGCTTGTGAGCGTGTCTGTTGGCAAGACCCCAGATAAGTTAAAAGAGATCAAGGAAGTGAGAGTCCCAAGCAATGTTACAGGTATATTGTTGCAGCCACATATGCTGCAAATGCAGGTTTAATATTCAAATCAGTATTTTCGTATGACTAGTGTTTTGTTACACATACACTAGTATATTATTGTGATTATTATAGTACATTATAGTGAGAAGAATAATGAAGATAATCCACGTGGGAAAGGATTAATTTTATTTGTGATAAGTTTAAATAAACAGTGAGATTTCTTAGTATGGAATAAATACTTCCATTACTTACTTAATACTTAATGTAATACTTCCATTATGATAAATTGCTATCATTTCGTTTCAGGAGATGTCACACTACTGGAAAACACCAAGTCTGTCTTTCCATTTGTCCAGATCAACATCAAGCGTTGCCATAGTGATGGATGTGACACACGTGTTCGAGGTATCAAAACACTTGGGCAGAGAGTGCACTATTCTCCGGGCCTATCTGTTACTGATGCTACCGCAATATGGTACCTGCAGGCAAGTATGCCTATTTTGCTTAAACATAGCTATTTTTTAAAAAAGACTGCAAAATTTGAGAAGGCTCACCAAGCTAGAAAACATAACGTGCTCTTGTAAAATGTTAATAATTATGTATTAAGTGTCATCTAGTGTCTTGTAGGATATCTTTTATAAATAGCCATTTTAACATGCTCCTGTGTGACATCATCAATTACTTCCATTTCTAAAATGCCCCTCTGGAATTTCATCAAATGTTGTATATTTGTAACATGCTCCTGTGTGACATCATCAATTACTT